TACTATCTAGTTAGTGAATAACCCTTACCCTTGTAACCATCAAAGAATGTTTTCTTCTGTGTTTAAACCTTTTCTTGAGTTCTTATAATAGCGGTCTTATACAATATTTGTCCTTCTGTGACTGACTAAATTCACTTGGCATAATGCCTTCCAGCTTCCTCCATGTTATGTTTCATGACTTCATTGTTGTTGTTTATTGTTGCATAGTATTCGATTGTGTGAATATACCATAATTTGTTTATCCATTCGTCCATTGATGGGCAGCTAGGTTGTTTCCATCTTTTTGCTGTTGTGAACAGTGCTGCAGTAAACATGGGTGTGTCTTTTTTTTTTAGTCATGTTTATTGAGGTATAATTTTTACACAGTAAAATTCACCCTTGTTTAAGCATCCACTTGTATGAGTTTTTGACAAGTGCATACAGTCTCGTAACCACTACCACAATCAGGATCAGAATAGTTTCAGCACGCCCCGAAAATTCCCTTGTGCTCCTGTGTAGTCAGTCCCTCCCTCTATCTCCAGCCACTAATCTACTTTCTGTCCCTGTAGCTTTGCCTTTTCCAGAATGGCATGTGAATCGAATCATTCTCCTGATTGATACTTACTCTGAAAAAGAAGTACATTTCAAACTTTTTTTTCTCAAAATACAGATGTTCATCACTTTTATAATGTCAGTTCCAGGGGTGTCATGTTTTCAGGAGAGAAAGTGGTCATTTTGTTTGCCAGGGCCGCCTGGTCTTTTTTCCTGGCCTCTTTAGGTTTGGGGTTGTATGCATCCAGTGCACAGCCCATCCCCATCCCTCATGTACCTAGCACTAATAATGTGGATTACATCTAAGATTGCCATCTTCTGAGGGTGTTTTAGATTTATAGGTCTTCTGGTAATACTGGGTATGACTAACACTCTGTCATAGCTCAGAATTAAGTATTTTCTAAACTTCCTATTAGTAGGGAAAACACTTCTTTTCTTAAGTTGAGAATATATGTAAATTACATCAGTAAAATATGAGCTAGAATAGGCAAATGCATTTTTATTTGGTAGCCTGTGTGAAAACTGTCATCTTTTGTACTCTTCCAAAAGAGGTAGAGTGGGAGATAAAAAGAAAACCACTGCTGCCTCACAGAATTCTGTCTAGTAGAACGCCACCATAGAAATGCATACAGCTTTCTGTCTGGGAATGTTTCAGATACCTAAATATTGTAAGAAAGAAAATAATGAAATATAGCTACAGGAATGTCAAAAGTATTCACTTATGACATTTCTGTAGCTATATTTCATTGTTCTGTAAATCCTACATTCATGATAGAAGATAGAAGATACAAAAAGAATTTAATACACTAACTTATAAAAACCAGAGAAGACCCAAGGATTATTTGTAAACGCAAGGAGGATAAACAGTATAGTTAATCTGTGTTTATTAATCTCCGGATATTTTATGAGTTAGAGATTTCCATATTAAAAGTTGTTTTGTAGACTTGGTGTATTATCCTTGATATGTCAGTAATGTTTTCAGGTGAAAAGAAATGTTTCAAATTATAAATAAAAGGGATTTTTTTTCTTTCCTGACTGGTTTATTGAAATTCATGGAACTTAAAAATTGGGGGGCCTTTTTTTTCAAGGCTATGAAAATGATTCTGTGGAAGACTTAAAGGAGATGACATCAGTATCTTCTCGGAAGAGAGGTAAAAGAAGGTACTTCTGGGAGTATAGTGAACAACTTACACCATCACAGCAGGAGAGGATGCTGAGGCCATCTGAATGGAATCGAGATACCTTACCAAGTAACATGTATCAGAAAAATGGCTTACATCATGGTAAGAGAGGATTGCTGTTAAGTATGTAGTGTCACTCATTGTAGAGCATGACTTTAAGTAGAGACACTAAAACCATCTGCTTCCTAAGTGTCCTGAGGTGTTCAACCGTTTCCTGCAAACTGGAGAGGGGGACAGCAGAGCTGCTGTGCTTGCCATGACTGGTCTTCACTCACAAACAACTTTTACCAGTGTCTAGAGACATCAGCTAGGCAGGGAAGAAGAAATGTGTAAAAACGGTTTTGTTTCTAGTCTCTCTTATTCTACTTGCCCCATGTAGGAAAGGACCAGGAGACTGCTGTTTCTTGACCCATCTCAGTTGCTATAACCAGAAGGGTTGGGGAGAAAGAGAATGAACTCCAGCAACTGTCTCTTCTATTCTTGCCCAATCCCCCGACCTAAAGAAAGTGGGTGATTGAAATCAAAAGGCGGTGTGGAGAAAAGGGGTGGAAAAGGAGCTGAAAGGAGGAATAGTTATGGAGAAAAAGAGTGAAGAGAGAAGAGTTGAATAGTAGGAGTCAGGAGAAGCTTATAGTCTTAGGCAGGCCAAATTTTGAATTGTGAACCTGAGAAGCTGTAATTAAGTAGAATTTCTTCTGCACCAGTATTATTTTACATTAATCCAAAGTTCTTACCAAAAAGGGGCCAGGAGACACTTTAAGTTTGGTGTTCAGGAACAGTTGAGTAATAACTCATGCTACAGATTTAATTTGCTAAGCATTTTTGAGGATAGGAATTATATCTGAAGTATATTTGTGCCTTATTTCTCCTTTCCACTGGCACCTGGCTCTGTGCTCTGCTCTCTCTCAGTGAATAAAGACCTAGTTTTTGCCTTCAGGTGGATTTTTCCTACAGGTTTAATAAATAATTCCAAGTAACATATGATGAGTACTAGGAAAGTTGTTACAGGGTACTGTAGGAGTTTAGAGGGCAGAGCCATCCCTTTTGCCTGGAATGATAGGGCAGGAAACCTTGAATCTTCTGTAATGTTATTGATCAAAGCAACTAAAGAAGAGCTTTCAAACAAGGTGATCCTTACTTGTTCTTAAACTTTTGAGTCCAACATAAAATGTGTATGTCTGACAGCTTTTCATTCATAGCATCAAACATTTTGATCCTCTGGTATTACGCAGTAGCCCTAATTTTTGTGTGCAGCTGAACTTGGACTCCCATCCTGGGATTTGAGATGCGTAGGACCGCTGTGCAAATAATTAAGAATCTATCAAAACAGGGCTGGAAACCTAGGGGTGGAGAAGGACTGAGGAAAGGCTAGAACTGTGCCATATTGCCACTATTTCTTATAGCCACAAAGTGTAAAGGGTAGCAGGCTACCCCTTTGGATGCGTTGCTAACGTGCTGAGGCTTCTGAAAAAGAAAAGTTGGGGGGATGGAGTGGTTTAAAATACGGCTGTGGAAAATGTCTGTCTTGTTAAATAAAATCTTCCCACTTAAACTTCTTTTAAACAATCTGTAGGAAAGTATGCAGTAAAGAAGTCACGGAGAACTGATGTGGAAGATCTGACTCCAAATCCTAAAAAACTGCTTCAGATAGGCAATGAACTTCGAAAACTGAATAAGGTGATTAGCGATTTGACTCCGGTCAGTGAGCTTCCCTTAACAGCCCGGCCAAGGTCAAGGAAGGAAAAAAATAAGCTGGCTTCCAGGTAAATGATAATAATGTTCACTCGTGAATAAAATCGAGGAGATGAGGTTAGATTTTAAGTGAGCTTTTATAGACGAGATGGTGTTAAACCATTTATTCAGAAATGTATTTCTTTTGTAAGTACTACAATGAGAGTATTATAATTTTTCCTTTGGATGTAAAAGCTGGTATTTATGTTTCATGGAAAAAAGTTTTAAGTGGGGAGAAGTGAATGGACTGAAGTGCAGTATATTAGTATGATAGTGAAAAATTTTCTCATAGCTTTACTTTTTAATTCAGTAAGCCATGTTTTTTGAGGTATAATTTACATGCAGTGAAATTCATTCCTTTTAATGTACACTTGTATGAGTTTTGATAGAGATATCCAATCATGTAACCACAATCACAATCAAGATATTAAACATTTTCATCACCTTAAAAAATTACTTCATGCCTCTTTGTAGTACATTCCTTCCCCCACCTCCAGCTCCTCACAACCACTGATGTTTTCTGCCCCTATAGTTTTGCCTTTTCCAGAATGTCATATGGATGGAATCATACTTAGATGTACCCTTTTGAATCTGGTTTATTTCACTTAACATAATGCATTTGAGGTTTATCCATGTTGTTACGCTTAGTAGTAGTTTGTACCTTTTTGTTAATAAGTAGTGTTTCTTTGTGGGGATGTAGTACGGTTTATCCATTCACTAGTTGAGGAACATTGAGTTATTTCCGATTGTTGGCAATTAGGAATACAAAGCTGCCGTAAACATTTGCTAACAGGTTTTTATGTGAATGTAAGTTTTCATTTCTCTTGGCTAAAAGCTCGGGAGTGTATCTTTAACTTTATAAGAAACTGCCAAACTCCTTTCCAAAGTGTCTTGTATATACCATTTTATATTCTTACCAGCAACATAGAGAGTCCTAGTTGCTCCACATCATTTACAGCACTTAGTATTGTCAGTTTTTGCTTTTTTAGTCATTCAAATAAGGGTCGCTATGAGTCGGAATTGACTCGACGGCAACAAGTTTGGTTTCTTTGGTTTTTGGTGATAGCTTTATTTTTGAATGTGTGTTGAGTCTTTAAAACTCAGTTAGGAGAAATGATTGTATTGTGTAGTTTTTGGTGACAGAGTTCCTTGATACAAACATTAGTAAACCAAAAAACCAAACCTGTTGCCATTGATTCCGACTCCTGGCAACCCCATGTGTTACAGAGTAGAACTGCTCCATAGGGTTTTCTTGGTTGGGTGGCACAAATGGTTAAGCACTAGATTACTAGCCAAAAGGTTGGCGGTTCAAACCCACTCAGAGGTGCCTGGAAAGACAGGCCTGGCGATCTGCTTCTGAAGGGTCGCAGCCTTGAAAACCCTAGGGAGCAGTTCTGTTTGGCACACATGGGGTCACTATCAGTCAGAATCAACTTGATGGCAACCGACAACAGCAACAGTCTTAACAGAAGCAAATAACCAGGCCTTTCTTCGGTGGTACCACCAGATGGGTTCGAACTGCCAGCATTTAAGTTTATGCCACCTAGGGACTTACAAACATCAGTAGGCAGTGATTTTTAGTTATTATTAGAAAATATCTGACAGAGCAAAAAAAGAATATGTTCTGAATGTTAACTTAAAAAAAGTGAACTAATCGCTCCTTCCTTTCACAGGGCTTGTCGGTTAAAGAAAAAAGCCCAGTATGAAGCTAATAAAGTGAAATTATGGGGCCTCAACACAGAATATGGTAAATCTGAACTTTTAAGAATTTGATTAAACTCCTGTTGCTTTGCTGACCATGCTCCTTTTCTTTGGTTTTGTTATTTGCTCTTCCTTCGTTCTGCCTGGGTTTTTGGCCAACCTCCTTTTTGTCCATCCATTCTGTAAGCTGCGTACTCTAGCTTACTTACTGACATCCTTCTTTTAGTATGTTGCTGTTAGTTGGCATCAAGTCAGTTCCAACTCATGGCAACCTCATGTGTGCAGAATAGAACTGCACCATGGGGTTTTCAAGGCTGTGACCTTTCAAAAGCAGTTGACCAGGCCTGTCTTCTGAGGTCTTCTGGGTGGGTTTGAACTGCCAACCTTTTGGCTAGTAGCTGAGCGCTTACCCAGCATTTTCACCACCCAGGGTCTCCTTTTCTTTTAGGATGAGTGTCTGTATCTATGGCTCCCCAAGCCAAATGTCATCTCTACTTTAAACAGCTGATCCACTTGTGACCACAGTGATTTTTTCTTTCATCTTATAATTGTACTGCTGGCTTGGCCAATTTTAATGACTGATTTTAAAATTTCTTTTCTTTGAATTGAGTAATGTTTATTTTGACCTTTGAGTAGATAGTTTAGATCCGTGTTTTCCATTAGAATCATCATCTGAAGAACTTGTTAAAATACAGCTTCCCAGGCTCCCCCTAGATCTTCTTAATTGGAATATATGCAAGTAGGACCCAGGAATCCATATTTTTTAACACACTCTCCAGGTTATTCTTATGAGTATGTTTGGGAACCACTGATTTAGGTCAGTGCTTCCTGATTTTTAACATGGCACATGTAGAAAACGATCATCTCTAAGGCATCCTGGAATTTCTCACACGTGGAACCCTTTTCAGTACATTAGGGCGTTGGGAAGCTCTGTTTTTGATCTTCTCTAATAAGAACCACCCCTCCCCATCCCCTTTCTCGATTACTGTTCCTTAAGCCTGGTATCACAAGCGTTTATTTGTTCCTTTGCCTCTAAAATAGTCCTCTTCAGTATGTAGCTCTTAGGCAAAGTTGTGTTTTTTCTGAACAGTGGAACAGTGTACAGTAGGCAGAATGATCAATTATTATTTGTTTCTAGAAGTTTTCTTAAGTTTCAGCATGGTGTCTTGGCACATAGGTGCTCAATAAACTTTGTCCAGTGGCTGAAAGAATCTTTTTTCTCAATCCCTTATCTTATCTATTCCCATTTATGAGAGAAGATAGAGAATTTCCAACTGTGAAGTTTCCAACTTGTGAAATGAACTGATAGTTTCATTAATTAATGGCCACTCAGGAGCTCTAATCAAGGTAAACTAATTAGTTAAAACAACAGTTGCTTTGTTGGAATGGAAATTTATCCACTTTCCTATTATTCTTTCCTGCTTGTAGCCTTTTGACCTTGAGCTCTGCAAGTACGTATGTATAATGATTGCTCTGTCGTGGGCATTCATATTTCATTTTAGAAGCCAGCTGACCCACACTGTAGGGAGATGTGGTGGACCACTGGGTGTCTTATGGGTCTGTTTCTCTGGAACACATGCAGACATCTGTCTGCGTCTTGTTTAGTTAATACGTTTATCCCTAATTATGTACATTTATATATATGTAAACTGCGTGTATACACATATGCTTTATGTCTATTTCTGTGATGTAAATATATTCTGGGGAAGAACAATTGAGGCCAAGTGTACTTGTGTTTCTGAATGTGTTGTCATATCTCAAATTGAGTGGTTTTCTAGAATTTGCTATTCACAAACAAATAACATTTGAGAAAGAATCGAGGACTTTGAAACATAGGGTTGCCAACTTTATATTTGCCAAGTGAGGACATTAAAAAGAACACTATCTATAATTGCTGTAATTTCATACAAGAAAGAATATTTTAATATTAAAAAAATTAGGAAGGGTAAAATCTTATAATAGACTATATTTAGCTTTATAAAAAATTCATCCTGTTGTTCTTATCCTTTTTGATTTGTCATGAACTAGCGTAGTTCCAAGAATTAGCGTCAACGACCCACTATACTAATCATGCCATCCGTTCCCATCAAAATTTCTTCTTCTGTTGATTCCTTCTGCCAAAGCTCACCAGAGACTGTTCTGTGAGTCAAATGTACACTTATTAACTCAGAACAAGAAATAGAACTGTTAGATAGATTGGACTTTCACCCTCACAGATGTATTTTGTCCCTCAGAAAGCTATACGGGAAAATTAAAGTTGTAAGACTCCTGGTTAAAAGTAGAACCAGAGGAAGGGAAGGCTGTTTATGGATTTAATGTTTAGCCTCAATTTCTGAGAGCCAGGTGCCTCCATGCACAGTAGTGGAACAATCACTTTCTTCCACCATCACTCCCCGCAACCAGTGATTTGGGACTGCCAAGGTTTGAGAAGAGCTATTATGCTGTGTTTTGTGTATATTTGAAGAGACCTTTATTTACTTTTTAACCTGCTGGAAATGGGAGAACCTCATTGTTCCCCATAAGCCCAACCTACATGTAAAAGTCCTTGATAATGTTTAAGTATACAGTGTTCTCTCAGTTATTCATGGAGAAAAAGCATAAATTTGTTTCACGTGATTTAGGGAATCAGCTGTACTTTCCTTGTTTAATGACACATTTTGCATATATTGGCCCTGCATGTAGTTTCCCTCCTCCCTCCTCCTATTATTTCTCACTTCGCTCTTCAACTTCAGTCTAAATTGGCCTTCTTTCAGTATTATTAGATAAGGAATAACCAGTCACTGGTTTCAAAGCAGTCTTTGAGTAGGCAGAGATTTATTTCAGACCATAGGAATTCTGTGTGTTAAAATTGGAAATGTGCTCCCTCCTTATCTTTATGGAGGAATAATTGGAATATAATAACTCTACATATTTGAGGTATATAAGTTGATCAATTTAGACATAAGTATACACAAATGAAACCAATCAAGATATGAACATTTTCATCACCCCTCAAAAGTTTCCTCATATCCTTTTGTAAGTCATCTCTCCCACCACTCCTATCCCTAGGTAGCCATGGTCTGTTGTCTGTCACTGTGGATTAATTTGCATTATCTAGAATTTATATAAATGGAATCTTACAGTATGTACTTTTTTTTAAAAACCTGGCTACTTTCACTTAGCTAAATTATTTTAAGACTCATCCATGTTGCTACTATATCAGTAGTTAGATTCTTTTTATTTTTTAGTCTTTGTTTCTTTGGAACACATGCAGGCATATCCCGTTGTATAACCAAAAAAAACAAACCTGTTACTGTCGAGTCGATTTCGACTCGTAGCGATGCTATAGGACAGAGTAGAACAGCCCCATAGGGTTTCCAAAGAGTGGCTGGTGGATTTGAGCTGCTGTCTTTTTGGTTAGCAGCTGAGCTCTTAACCACTACATCACCAGGGCTCCTATTCCATTGTATGAATGTGCGATTTGTTTATCCATTTACCTTTTTTTTTTTATTGTACTTCAGGTGAAGGCTTACAGAACAAATAGTTTCTCATGAAACAGAAGTACACATGTTGTTTTATAACATTGGTTAACAACCCCACAACATATCAACCCTCTAACTTCTCAGCCTTTTCTTTTTTTTTGGTGAAAATACACATAGCCAAAGATACACCATTTCAAAAATTTCTACATGCACAGTTCAGTGACATTGACTACGCTCTTCTAATTGTGCTGTTATTCTCACTTAAGATGAAGGCTTACAGAACAAAGCAGTTTCTCATTTAACAGTTACAACAAATGTTGCCCTATGACAATGGTTAACAATCTCACAACACATCAACAATATCCTTACTCAACATTGGGTTCCCTATCATAGCTTCCTTGTCCCCTTCTGCTTTCTGGCTCTTGTCACTGGACTCCTGTACCTCGTTGGTCTCATTTGGTTTTACGGGGCTGTCCTCCATTTACCTTTTGATGGACACTTGAGTTGTTTCTAGTTACGGGTTATAACAAAGCTGCTATGAATATTTGTGTACAAGTCTTTGGGCGTATGTACATTTTCATTTCTCTCGGGTAAATACCTGGGAACAGAATGGCTAGATCATGGGATAGGTGTATGTTTAGCTCTATAAGAAACTGCAAAACTGTTTTCCAAAGTTGACTGTGCCATTTTACATTCTCAGAAACAGTGCAGGAGAATTCTTGGTGCTCCATATATTTGTGAACACTTGATAGGGTCAGTCTTGTTAATTGTAGCCAATCTAATGGGTGTGTGGTGGTCTGAATTTGCATTTCTCTGATTAACGGTATTGAGCATGTTTCCTGTGCTTTTTGGTTAGTCGTATATTTTCTTTTGCGACGTGTGTGTTCAAATATTTTGCCTTTTTTTTAATCGGTTTGTTTTCTGAGTTGTAACAGCTCTTTATTTATTCTGGATACAGGTTCTTTGTCTGATACATGTATTGCAGATATTTTATCCCAGTCTTTTGGCTTACCATTTTGTTTTCTCATTGGCATCTTTCAAAGAACAAGTTTTTAATTTTTTAATAAAGTCTAAATTTGTTAGTTTTTTTGTTCCATGATTTTTGTGGTCTTGTGAAACCTTTGTCAACTCCAAAGTTGAAAATATCTTCTTCTGTGTTTTCTCTTAGAATTTTTATAGTTCTAGGTTTTACATTTAAGTTTATGATCCATTTTACTTTCATTTTTGTATATGGTGTGAGGAAAGGGATGATATTTATTTGTTTCCATGTAGATACCCAGTTGATCAAGCACCATTTGTTGAAAAGACTTTCCTTTCCCCATTGAATTGTTTTTGCATCTTTGTCAAATCAGTTAACCAAATTTGCACAGTTAGATTTCTGGGCTTTGTATTCTCTTCCACTGATCTGTTTGTCTACCTTTATGTGAATACAGAACTGTCTGGATTACTGTAGTTTTATAGTAAATCTTGAAGTCAGATACTGGTGGTCCTTCAATTTTATTCTTCTTTCTCAAGGTTGTTTTGGCTGTTCTCAGTCCTTTGCATGTCCATATAAATCTTAGAATCAGCTTATCAATTTTTACAA